ATGTTTGCAGGTTGGAGTCCTGTTGTGGACGTAGAGACAATGTTTACAAATATTTATATTTATATATAGATGGATAGATAGTTAGATAGATATATATTTACTTGTTTATATTTATAAATTTGTTGCAGACTGTTCTTGTGGATGTTAATGATGACTTGGAGGCGCCTGAATGTCTGGAGGTCAGTATATGCGAGGCCAACCATGCTATGGTCTCCAGAGACCTTGGAGGTTATGCAAGAGGCTTCCTGGCCTCTGATAAGGAGAACTCTCTTGGTGTTTCACTGGGAGGTTCACTGGCCTCTCAACTGGAGAAGTCTCTTGAAGGTTCAATGGAAGACCTCCTGGCCTCCAGGAAGGAGAGGCCTCTTCCGGGTTTAATTAGAGGCTTCCTGGCTTCTATGAAGGAGAATAAGGATCTTGGTGGGTTAATGGGAGGTTTTCTGACCACCAAAGAGGAGGAGAAGCCTAATGGAGGTCAACTAGGAGGTTTCTTAGCATCCAGAGTGGCGAATAAGACACTTGGAGCTCAATTAATGGCCTTAAAAACATCCTTATTCTCTCAGGAGGCTTCCGGAGAGGAGTACAAGCCTCTTCGAGGTCACCTAAAACCTTTAATGGCCTTCTTAACCAATCAAACGGCTTCCAAGAAGGAAGAGAAGCCTCTTACAGGTCATCAAGAAGCTTTTCTGACGTCCAGAAAAGATAAGAAGACTCTTGGAGGTCAACTAGGAGGTTTCCTGACCACCACCACGGAAGAGGACAAGTCACCTGAAGGTCAATTAGGAGGTTTCCTGGCCTCAATGATCACCCAGGTGGCCTCCAGGGCTATAATTAGTGAAGCAGAGGTTTACTTGAAGTCAGTGAGGGCCGGGCAGGTCGGGAGGTCGAGAGGTCACTGTAGGGAGGTCTACCCTCACTGTCCTAAACTGAAACCTAGACATAGCGTCCACCTCGGTGATGTTTTGGCCTTTATAAAAGAGACAGTGAGAGGAAGTGAACGTGAGAGACAGTGAAGGTGAACGTCAGAGAGTGAGAGACTGACAGAGAGAAAGTGAGAGACAGTGAAGGTGAACGTCAGAGAGTGAGAGACTGACAGAGGGAAAGTGTGAGACTGAAAGTGAGAGAAAGTGAGAGACAGTAAGAGAAAGTGAGAGACAGTGAAAGTGAAAGACGGTAAGAAATGAGTTAGAGAAAGTGAGAGGCTGTGAGAAAATATGAGAGACAGTGAGAGTGAGAGACACCAAGAGTGAGAGACAGTGAGAGTGAGAGAGACTGTAAGAGAATGTGAGACAGTGAGAGAAAATGAAAGAATGTGAGAGAGAGTGAGAATGAGAAACAGTGAGAGTGAAAGACAGTGAGAAGAGTGACAGTGAGAGACTGAGTCTGTGAGAGACAGTGAGAGTGAGCGAATCTGAGAGAAAATGAATGACAGTGAGCGCGAAAGACAATGACAGTGAGAAACAGTGAGAGAGATAGTAGAGAATGTGAGTGACAGTGACAGTGAAAGACAGTGAGAGTGAGAGAGAGTGAGAGTGAAAGTGAAAGACAGTGAGAGACAGTGAGAGTGAGAGACAGAGTGAAAGACAGTGAGAGACAGTGAGAGTGAGAGACAGAGTGAGACAGAGTGAGAGACAGAGACAGAATGAGACAGAGATAGAGTGAGACAGTGAGACAGAGTGAGAGACAGAGTGAGAGACAGAGTGAGAGACAGTGAGAGTGAGAGACAAAGTGAGACAGAGTGAGAGACAGACCCACACTTGGATCCACTTCGAAAACAGCGTGAAGCTTCTATACCACAAGACGGGCAGCCAACAGCAACTTCTCCAGGACATCACTTCATGTGAGATCATTTATCCCCAGGATGACTTGAGTCTGGAACACAGTCGTACACCATTATGATGTCAACCAGATGAAGTCGCTTGATCAAATGCTGGCCCACAGCTGGCCCACAGCTGGCCCACAGCTGGCCCACAGCTGGCCCACAGCTGACCCACGGCTGGCCCACAGCTGGCCCACAGATGGTACACAGATGGTACACAGCTATCCCACAGATGGCTCACAGCTGGCCCACAGATGGCTCACAGCTGACCCACAGCTGGCCCACAGCTGGCCCACAGCTGGTCCACAGCTGGTCCACAGATAAGCTGATGTAGGTAATATCTCTTAGGTTGTCAATAAAGTTAGGAATCCTTAACCTTGTTAATGGAGGCCGTAAGAGTAACATCTCGACCCATTTATTTATCAACCGATTATGTTCATTTTTGGTGTACAATTAGAAGATTATGTCGACCATGGTTTGCTGAAGTTTCAAAAATATCGGCTAAAAAGAAAATGAAATATTCAAAATTTACGAAAAATTACATTTGTGAGTTGTGTGACTCAGTGGCACTTGGAAAAGTGGTGTTGACACTTGCTGCTGATACAACACTTATAATTACGTGCTCTCTACCTTTTCTAAAATAAACTTTATCTTCATGCTAAAAAAAAATAAAGTTTCATAACTTTTTGACATTTTGGAAGATGTCGGTCTTGTTGCCAACATAAATCTGAAAATATTTGGGATAGTTCAGAGAGGTTCACAGAAACAAGTAAAGCAGTCATTCTTCTTGTTGTGAAAATCAAGTCAATTCATTCATAAATAAGGATGGAGTCCCCATAAATAGGTAAATAACTTACTTCCCAGATATAGGCCGCAGCGCGCGGCACCCCAGGTGCCCGGGGAATTTTTTTTTTCCCGAAAAATTCGCTTTCTTTTACAGTTTTTCCGTAACCTGCGAGTGTTTATTACAGTTAACCATTGTAAATCTCCGTTTTCTGTCATCATAGAGACGAGAGAATGGATCTTCACCTTCATGGGTTATATCGCTAGAACTTTTTTTCCTCTGGGGCGTCATATTATGCTATATATTATTATTTTGGTGTACTATTTATGTCTCTATGCTATTATTATATTGCCTTATGTCATATTAGATCAATTGTGATAGATAAATAAGTCTTATAATTGATATTAGCGTGGGTATGGAATATTTTGTTGGGTGGTGAGTGTCGGCCATCTTGGGCACTATACCCAGGGGAGGTTCCCTATTGGTCCATTGACCATATTAGCTCCGCCCACTCTGCCATGATTATATTAGACGTAAAGATATAAGAAAACGATAAATTAGACACATGTGCAACTCTTGGGTATCTTTATTGAGGAAACGTTTCGCCACACAGTGGCTTCATCAGTCCATACATAGGAGAATCTTGAAGAACAGGAGGAGAATGAGGTAATCAGTCCCTCAACCTTGAGTCGATGTGTTCAGTCCATGCACATGTGTCTAATTTATCAACATGTCGGTTCTCTGAATCATTCATCTACAAAGATAGATTTTTTTAGATTTTACCACAGAAGTGGCTAGTTTATTGTGCACCCCATATCCATCCTGTGGACGGTAGCGCGAGAGCATATGGATACACAAAAGGCCTAGGAACTAGGCCCCAAAGGGTTAACAGGAATACATATGGATTTATTTCTACATATCTATAGTTCACTTATCTGTTACAAGCAAATTTAGGAAATTTGCTTAGTATATCTGGTATCTTATTTTCATTAATAAGATATCTTGACATGTCACATAGGTTATTATACTGTCTGTCTCTGTATTCCTCAATAAGTGGACAATTAAGCACATAGTGTTCAAGAGAATGACCATATGCCTGATCACATAATTTACATTTAGTTTGATCATCATCTGTGTGTCTCCCAAACTGCCAGAAGTACTTGTAACCAAGCCTAAGCCTGGCCACTACAACATCAGTCAGTCTGTTCACATTGCAAGTTGCTCCATAAACATACTTATCTACGTTCATGTTATCATAGTGGGTTATAGATCTACTCAGGCTTCTAACTGCATTCCTATAACAATCATCTTCATTATTTACTTCTCTCCTAATATTATTCCTAATGCTAAGATACAAAGAAAACGATAAACGGGGGAAAAATGGGGCGTCATCGCTTGTCATGCCTGGCGCTGCCACCATGACTGTTATAAATGATCATATAATTCCTTTTAGAACATCGTATAAGGATGATAATTATACCAGAGTAGCCAGAAAGGTCAGCTGTTTTATGGTAACAATAACTCAATTTTCGTATTTTTTCGAGTTTTTTCTTACTCGGCGCGTGCAGCGCTGTATAGCCCTTGTGGCTTAGCGCTTCTTTTTGATTATAATAATAATAATCTTACTCGGCGCGCTTAGACCTTCCACCTCCCTCAAACTTTGTGTAAAAAAAAAAAAAGATAGTGAAAGAATGTGAGAAAGAGTGAGCAGGGCCAGATTAAGAAGTCTCCGAGCCCTAGGCTATTCAGATTGGCGGGGCCCCTTTGAGTTACGGGTCAGCGAAGTGACCCCTTCCAGCTTGGGGGGGGGGGGGGGGGGGGTCGGTGTGAGCCTGTTTAAGGTCTAATTAAATACATTCTGGCTATTTAGATTAAATTTAATAGGGAAAGTACATCAAGACAACCAAAACCATTTACCAACAGCCATTATAACTATCTTGTTAAATCATGCATTTTAAAGAGAATAAACTCAAGACAGCATAGTATTACTAGGTTAGGCTATTAAAGTAGTGACATCATGTACCTATTATATTCAGCATAACCACTACAGCACTATTATTCCCTTTATAAATCACTGACCATTATTGTTATCATTGCATCATGCATAAGACTATCAAATTATATAAACTACAGAAAATTGGAGAGGAATCTCCCATACTCACCCATTAGCGGGAAAACACAGCTGTTCTGATGTAAACAAAGGCGTGTTGAGTGTTGCCATCTATGGTTAGCTTTATTTATTTTTATTTTATTTTATTTCATTATTTATTTTTGTTTTGATTAATTTTTAAAAATCAATTTTACTCTCCAAACACTTGAACTTTTTAGGTAGGGACCCCTTTGTACTTGCACCATGTGCGCAGTCTTGGATGAGCCCCTGAACCCCTTGGACTGCGGGGCCCCCAAATGCGCGGGGCCCTAGGCAAATGCCTAGTTTGCCTATGCGGTTATCCGTCCCTGACAGTGAGAGAGTGTGAGAGTGAGAGACCAGAGAGTAGAAGCAGAAAACTTCCATATTGCATGAGTAACTAAGATCTATTATCAATCATCATGGAACTCAGCAACTGAAGACTGATCCCCTCACCTTTCACTTTACTCATTCACGACTGAAGACGTCACTGACTAGTAAACATCTCCACAATAAACATACTCAACTGTTCAGCAAGTGTCTTATTAACCTAGTAGCGTTGCCAGACGTGTTAGGTGATATCAACAGCGTTGCCAGACGTGTTAGGTGATATCAACAGCATTGCCAGACGTCTTAGGTGATATCAACAGCGTTGCCAGACGTGTTAGGTGATATCAACAGTGTTGCCAGACGTGCTAGGTGATATCAACAGCATTGCCAGACGTGTTAGGTGATATCAACAGCGTTGCCAGACGTGTTAGGTGATATCAACAGTGTTGCCAGACGTGTTAGGTGATATCAACAGCGCTGCCAGACGTTTTAGGTGATATCAACAGCATTGCCAGACGTGTTAGGTGATATCAACAGTGTTGCCAGACGTGTTAGGTGATATCAACAGCGTTGCCAGACGTGTTAGGTGATATCAACAGTGTTGCCAGACATGTTAGGTGATATCAACAGCGTTGCCAGACGTGTTAGGTGATATCAACAGCATTGCCAGACGAGCTAGGTGATATCAACAGCGTTGCCAGACGTGTTAGGTGATATCAACAGCGTTGCCAGACGTGTTAGGTGATAACGCTGCCAGACGTGTTAGGTGATATCAACAGCGTTGCCAGACGTGTTAGGTGATATCAACAACGTTGCCAGATGTGTTAGGTGATATCAACAGCATTGCCAGATGTGTTAGGTGATATCAACAACGTTGCCAGACGTGTTAGGTGATATCAACAGCATTGCCAGATGTGTTAGGTGATATCAACAGCATTCCCAGACGTGTTAGGTGATATCAACAATGTTCCCAGACGTGTTAGGTGATATCAACAGCATTGCCAGACGTGTTAGGTGATATCAACAGCATTGCCAGACGTGTAGAGTGGTGCTAGCAGCGTTGCCAGACGCGTATGGTGGTACTTCCAGTGTTACCAGATGTGTAAAGTGGTACTAACAGTGTTGCTAGACATGTAAGGTGGTACTAACAGTGTCGCCACATGTGTAAAGTGACACTTTACACATATGGCAACACTGTTAGTGTAAGGTGGTAACAGCAGTGTTGCCAGAGATGAAAAGTGGTACTAGCAGCGTTGTCAGACGTGTTAGCAGGTCCTAGCAGCGTTGCCAGATGTGTAAGCAGAACCTAGCAGCGTTGCCAGATGTGTAAACCGGTATTAGCAGTGTTGTCAGACATTTAAGCAGGTCCTAGCAGCGTTGCCAGACGTGTAAGCAGAACCTAGCAGCGTTGCCAGATGTGTGAACACGTTATAACAGTGTTGCCAGACGAGCGAGCAAGACCCAGCAGTATTGTTGTATATATAAGTAGGACCTAGCAGCACTGCCAAACGAAATAACGGAACCCAACTACGTTGTCAGGAGTAATGACAGAACAAAGCAGCGCTGCCAGACATATAAACAGGTCCTATCAGTGTTGCCAGACATATAAGCGGTCCTAGGACCGCTGCCAGGCTAGTAAACAAGTCCTAGCAGAGCTGCCAGGCATAAGAGGCGGAGCAAAGCCATCACTGCCAGACGTACAGGATGGAGCAGACACCAGTTATCATACAGCGGACGGTGAGGCATCACACACTGTAACCTCCACCACCACCAGCACCGCCACTATTGCAACAGTACTATCACTACTACCACCACTGTTACCACTACGACTACCACCACTGTTACCACTACTACTACTACCACAAAGACCACCACTCCTACCTCTACTACTACTACTACTACCACCACTGTTTCCACTACTACTACTACCAACACTGTTACCACTATTACTACTATCACTACGACCACCACTCCTACCACTACTACTACCACCACTGTTACCACTACTACTGCTATCTCTACGACCACCACTCCTACTACCACCACTGTTACCACTACTGCTACTACGACCACTGTTACCACTACTACTACCACCACTGTTACCACTACTGCTACTACCACCACTGTTACAACTACTGCTACTACGACCACTGTTACCACTACTACTACCACCACTGTTACCACTACTGCTACTACCACCACTGTTACCACTACTACTACTACCACCACTGTTACCACTACTACTACCACCACTGTTACCACTACTGATACAATTACAACGACCACCACTCCTACCACTACTACCACTACTACCTCCACGACTCGGCGTCACGATTATCGTACTCTTGACGCTGCCTTCTGCCACCTCCAAGCCAACATGTCTTACGGTAAATTAATAAATAAATCATATATATTTACGTTTATATATATGCTATTGTTACACGGAACAATAGTACAGTGTAACAATAGTACAGTGTAACAATAGTACAGTGTAACAATAGTACAGTGTAACAATAGTTCAGTGTAACAATAGTACAGTGTAACAATAGTTCAGTGTAACAATAGTACAGTGTAACAATAGTACACTGTAACAATAGTTCAGTGTAACAATAGTACAGTGTAACAATAGTACACTGTAACAATAGTACAGTGTAACAATAGTACAGTGTAACAATAGTACAGTTATGGAAAATTTTCTAGGGTGCTTACCTGTATGTACCTCAACATTATATACATACCAGTAATCTCATTGGGAGACAATCATATTGTTTACCGTAGTCACCCCGTGTAGACATGTGAGAAAACTTAACCACCCCTGGTCGCACCAAGTGGTCCCCTCGACCTCACAATCTTATCCGTATCTATCCGAGACCAGTATGGATTGGGTAGCACCCACAAGTACGGTGCTACTAATTAATTGTGGACTGTATAGATTATATTAGTTTAGCTGAATGAAGGGGAGGGGGGTAGGATACACCTGGATACATCCATCAAGGAAAACATTTATACATAATCCCACCACTTACCAGATGTTCTCTGGTGGTCACTTGATGTAGTTGGATCACTCATAACCTATCTAATTACAACATAACACCACTGGCCAGCATAGGTTTGTTATAACTAGAAGGGTTACTTAACTGTGGGTGATTGATACTCCTTATTTCTTCCATTCACCATCTCAGTTTCGATGTCCTGCTACACCGACACGGTTCTCATTCCGGCAGGACGAGGTATCCGTCGGTTTGTCCCGGTTAGAAGTCGTGATTCCATAA